GGTGTCCCTGCCCATGGCAGGGGTTGGGACTGGAGGAGCTTTAAGGTCCCTTCAACCCAAACCATTCTGTGGTTCTATGAAGTCTTCAAGGATGATGCTCAGCTGCTGATGGTCCATTTGGCTCTTGTGGCACAGCGGAGGAGCAAAGGGACCTACAAGCCTTCCCCATGCGTTCCATCTGCGATTTGGCCCATAACCCTTTCTCTCTGCATCACCGAGGTTGTTGCTGCTTTGCAGTCCTGCTTTGCACAGCCGGGGCAGTTGGGTTGGGATAAGATTTGTTCTTACTAAGACCCATTTTGGTGCCTAAGCAAAGTCACCCCTTCTTCACCTCATTTCAGCACTCAATGGGCCTCCTGAGCACTATCTGTGGGTAGTTGCACATCCCTTCCTGGCAGCTTCTCTAGGCTCTGAAGTCTCTGCCTTTACTCCATGCTGTCATGCCCTAGGGTTTCACACTGCCTCCCTTTGACTTCAGTTTGTATATATTTTATTTTCTTTAATGTTGCTTTTTTAGAAGGTTGCTACAAGGATGCTTTTAGAAAAAAATCATTAGATAGAAGAAAAGCTTCTGATTCATCCGCTGTGCTGGGCAGAGGTAGGGACGGTGCTGGCACGGATGCACTGTGTGACCACAGAATTACCCTTCAAAGTGAGCAGATGGCTCAGGGTCAATAAACCCCTTGGAGAAATTCACAAAGGACTTTGAGGTTTCAGTTTGTTTCATGTGTTCTCCAGGGGCTGTGCAGGAGGGAGAGAGGGGACCTCTGGGCTGAGGAACTGGGCAACTGAAAGCAGGTCTGGCCACTGTCAGCACACATTTCTTGGTCCCTTTCAACAAAAAACATCTTATCTTAGTAAAAGTCATCTCGTAGCAGAAATGTCAGGCAGGGCCCTTGTGGTGTCCCACTAAGCCCAGTGTGCGTTGCTCCCACGTGAAGTCTCTGGATGCTGCCATGGGGTAGCAGTGCTTGTGCAGGAGGAAGAGGATGGAGCATCTTCATGACCACGAAGGTTATTAAATGCCCTGAGACCAGCCACAGGGCACTCGCATGGCAGCAGCACCATCCCAAAGATGGTGCCTGTGCTGGGTCAGTCAGAGGGAGCTTTCCTGGTGGCGCTGGGATGGTGCTGGTGGGTCAGACGGATGCAGCTTGAGGGCTGCCATTGCCATAGCTGTGGGGAGGCCAACGACATGTCTCCTTTCTCCATCCCTGGCTTGTAGCACATCACCCTGCCTGTCCCTGCCATTCCCCTTCTCCCACCCATGGGTAGAAGCGCCAAAGCATGAAGAGAGCCCGGCTTTCACGCCCCAGCAGATGACGTGAGCCATTAGTTTGGTGTTTATCTGAGGGGAGCTTCTGACCTTTCCTGAGCTCCCCTGTGGTAGTGGATCGTGCACAGATAATTCACAGCTCCCAGCAACGCTCTGGCTTCAAACTTGCAGCAAGGTAATAAATGGAGCGAGTGATGCAGCAGCATGGGAGGATGCAGCGTGGGGAGCAGGCTCAGCGCTGTGGGACTGTTTGGTTCACACGTTCCTCAGGGAATAGCTGCGCACAGGGAGATACCAAAGCAAGTGATTGTCACACCAGCTCACATAGCTCCAGGGTCAGCCTACTTTCCGAGTTGCCCCCGAGCTCCTTTTGTTCTCTGCTTCACAGGCATCGAGCTCGACTATTGGAGAACCTGTGTTTCTGATGAGTGCAGCTCTTTAAGTTGGAGGGATGATTCACAGTCAAGTTTGGGTGCTACCTGCAAACATGTTGTTTCAGGCTCTGAAGCACAAGCTTCAAGGAATGGGCAAGAGCTCAACACCCCCTTGTTAGGACAACAGAAAGAACAAGCTGTTAGGTACAGAGCTAAAAATAATCGCAAAGCTTTGAGTCTTCCTCCCCGTTGCAGCAGGAGGATGCTCTAAGCGCCGATGGCCGAATCCATCTCTGGCACAGCTCTGGCTGGATGATGCATTAAAGCTTTGGTGACTTTCTGAAGCTTAGTTCAGGTAACCATGGAGCAGTGTGACTGCTTTTCTAGAGCCACCCTGCTTTCTAACTCAGATGAGAGTGGCCTGGGGCAAACCCAAAAGCTGGTGTTCCCAAAAGGGACGGCACCTTCTTTGGTAGATTTTAACAGGCAACTTAAGAAGGGGAGAAGTGGACAAAATAGCTGAGGCTGGCCCAGCAGTGACAAAGCATCTCTTTGTAAGTCATGTCTTGAAAGCAGGATTCATGTGGGGGGAAATGGCATGGTATAAATCACAGCCACAAGCCTGTTTGTTGGGAGCCGTGCTCGGGCCAGGCTGGATCTGGGCTCCATCTCGTCTGGGGCATCCCATAAGCATCTCTGCTGATGGCCTGGCTTCCTGAGCACAGGGTGCTTGGGGGGAGCCCAGGCACCTCCATGCTCACTGCAGGGCCCAGTGAGCATCTTTACTCAGGCTTCTCTCCCTCGACCGCAGCTTTCTCACCTGACAGGCTGATGGAGATATCTGCCTGGCTGAGGCCGCCGGCCACCTGGGGTGATGGTGATCCATTACCACACAGTTCCTTCTGCCAGCACACAAGTTTTTATTCATCCTTTAGTTTTTACGGCAGCAGCCAAGGGAGGTGCTTTGTCACTGCCTGTGACCAAAGTGCACAAAGGCAGAGTGGCTGAAGAATTTGAGCTGTAATAAAATGCTCACTGTATTGATCTTGGCTCAGGATTTGTTTCCCTTCTTGCATTAACTCCCTGTTGATTTCTGTGATGACCTTAGAGCGTATGGTCTGGTTGGCCTTCTCCCTCAGCCAGCAGCATTCCCATGCCTGCATCCCACTTCCCTCCCAGCCTTGCCAAACTGCTGATGGGCCAGGTTGTACCAGGTGCTCTGGGGTAAGCAGAGCTTTGCTTTTGCTGCCTTTGTCATCAGAGATGACCAACAGGTATCATCATTGTTGATACCTGTTAGTTGCTGTAGTTCGTATAGAGGTTGGTGCTATATGGCACTAACTTGTTCTAGCTTGAAGGTTGAGTCATTATTTTAGTGCAGTATCCCATTAAACCAGATCCAAGGGCAAGGAGTCCTGGCAGGAGTTCAAGAAGGGGCTTGGGTTTGCCTTGGAGATGCTCTGTTTCCCCATGTTGGGGGCCACAACAAGGCTGTGTTATTGCTGCATCAGAAGAGTCTGCTGCACAAGCATGAGTGGCAACAACAACTGGTAGGAGTGATGGTGCTTGTGGAAAGTCCTTTCCCTTTGCCAGGTTGGGTTCTCCAGCACTGCTGAGATGAAGCAAAGCAAAACTCTTCCCATATCTGTAAGGGACAGTGTGAGGTTGGGAGCTGCCACGTGTACGTATGACGTGAAAGTGAGCTTTGTCCTTGCTCCCTCTCAACTCCAGCTCTCGATGTGAAATCATTTAGTGGCACTTTTCGGAAAAAGGACCTTCCAGTGGGTCATGATGAGGTTTGGCTCCTGTTTCCTGTGTGAATCTGTGGCCAAAGCCATTGGAGCCGGGTGGTGAGTGTGGGGACAGGGATAGAGCTCACTGTGGTACCCAAGCCCTCCAAGCATGAGGAGCCATTGTGTCCGGCTGCTGACACTGTACCGAGCTCCTTGGCTTTATTTGGTCTTGCAAGCTTATTGTACTTTCTACCTGTTTACTTATTTATGAGTTTGGATGCTCTAAATGGGGAGAGGAACAGCAGCTCTCCAGCCCTCCTTTCTCCTGTGCTGCTGGATGTTTTTTTGTGATTCTCGTTTTAGTCCACCCAGAGACAATTTTCTGTAAAACATTGACATCTAGTGGCTTTTCTGCCAAAGGAAACGAGAGGGAACAAAAGACTGGCTGCAGGGTGGCTGGTTGCGATGCCACTTGGGAAAGCAAATGAATGTCCCTTCTCCTCCTTATGCAGCACCAAGGACATGGCAATACCACCCTGGGGGCTCAGGACTCCAAGGGTCCTCATCCCAGAAGATTGGCCTTCCCTGGCAGGACGATTTGCTTATTGAGCTACTTTGATTCTATTAATTTAAGCAGATGGCTGATATCCTGCCAGTGTACCTCCAGCATCATTGCTGAGGTCATGGTCATATTAAAGGAGGTGCAAAAACGATGCTCAGTGGGTATGGCTTTAGTCCCACTCAGTGGTGGACAATACAGTGCTTGATGGTGGATATTAACATGCCGCTCAGAGGGATCTCTTAATGCTGTAGGGTTGAGCTTGCAGCTTTTGCAGCTGCAGCGCCTGATGGGCTTCCCTGCAGCAGCATGGGCCATTTTTCTGTTGCTCCAAACCAAAGCCAGCACCTCCCTTGGAAATGTTTTCTCTAACAAAATGCCATAACACATCCTTTAATATCCTGTTAGTCACTAATCTCTCCTCTCTCACTGATGCAGTCCCTGTGTTAGGTGAAGGCAGGAGGGTAAAATGGGATTTTCCAGGGCTTTTCCAAGACTCTCATTTCAGTGCAAGTGGTCTGAGGCTTTGGGGCACATCCCATTTATCTGGCCTGCAAAAGGAAATGTCCTGTAGGGAATGTCTTCCTCCTGGGTGTAAGTGCTGCTCTGGGGTTCATGCCTCTGAGACCCACGGCTGCTCATTGGAGCATGAGCAGCTTTTTGCAGACTACATGAACTCTTCAGTGCAACTTGTTGTACAAGGAGAGGAAAAAGCCAGAACTGGCCATGCCCTGCTCGTGCTGGGGCTTACATCCTGGGATAGATGTGGGTTATTTTCCCAAGGTCCGGGGAGAGCACCAGTTGGGACACCCAGCAGGAGCATGGGCAGCCCAACACAGAGCTGGTTCCTCTCCCTTAGGTTCCATTCTGCCTCTGTAGAGGCAAAACCCCTTAAACAGACACAGATATGTGCAGGTAGATAAACCCCTTCCCACTCCCCCCAGGCCGTTTGTTCTGCCATCCTTCACCCTGCAGAGGTGAGCACGCTGCGGCAGGGATCCAGCAAGCCTCTGAAGTGCATCTCCGGGTTTCTATTGATTTTGAATGTTAATGCACCGTGTGCTGGAGACACATGGGACTAAACGCTCTGCTTTCCTCTCCCTGTGGCAGGAACTTCTACTACATCACCATCCTGCGTGACCCGGTCTCACGGTACCTGAGCGAATGGCGCCACGTCCAGCGAGGAGCCACGTGGAAGGCATCCCTGCACGTCTGCGACGGCCGGTCCCCCACCACCGAGGAGCTGCCCAGCTGCTACACAGGGGATGACTGGTCGGGCTGCTCCCTGCAGGAGTTCATGGATTGCCCTTACAACCTCGCCAACAACCGCCAGGTCCGCATGCTCTCCGACCTCAGCCTGGTGGGGTGCTACAACCTGTCAGTGATGCCCGAGGAGCAGAGAAACAAGGTTCTGCTGGACAGTGCCAAGGAGAACCTGAAGCGCATGGCCTTCTTTGGCCTGACGGAGTTTCAGCGCAAGACTCAGTATCTCTTTGAGAAGACTTTCAACATGAACTTCATCTCGCCGTTCACGCAGTACAATAGCACAAGGGCCTCCAGCGTGGAGATAGACGAGCAGACTCAGCGGCGCATCGAGGCTCTCAATTTTTTAGATATGGAGTTGTACGACTATGCAAAAGACCTGTTTTTGCAGCGGTACCAGTACATGCGGCAGAAGGAGCACCAGGAAGCGCGGCGGAAACGCCAGGAACAGCGCAAGATCCTGCGGGCCAAGCAAGCGCTCCTGAGGGAGCAGGGCGAGAACAGCTCCAGCACTGACTACATTGGGAATGTGGAGCGGTGGCGGCGGTAGGGGGGGGGCACTCGCCAGGCACTGGAAATGAAGCAGAAGCCACCCCAACCCGCACGTGGGACACGACACAGTGACGCTTCTCAAGGGTTTGAAGCAAAAAAGAAGGTTAAAAACGTTGCCTTTGCAGTTGCCTTTGTTGTACTGTACGTGGAACACTTAATCTTAGTGTGTAATTGAATTGTCCTTTTTAGGTTTTGGTGGCAGGAGCCAAGTAGGCTCATCGGAAATGGTTGCTTGGACATTTTTTAAAAGAAAAGGGGGGAAGAAAAAAGCAAATCCTGACATGAGTTCTGAGTACAAAATGGGATGCTGGAAAATGTGTGTGATGCTCGGCTGAAATCTCTCTGGAAAGCAAACTCATTTCCTAATAGCGAGCATCTAGCATACTCTCACAATACAGTATATGAGCAAAAGCTGTATTCCCTTTGATTTCATCTTCATTTTGTTTGAATAATGTGCTTTCAAGGGCACCGACTGCTTCTCATATTTACCAAGTTAATGAATGGACAGTGAAGGGGACAATAATGGTCCAGAGAAAATATTGACTAGTTTTCTGTATAATATTGGCTTTTAAAAGGAATAGAAGTAATTTCTCTAGTTATATAAATATTGAAAATTTTAAACTTTTTCTACCTACTGCTGTTTAGAGTTTTAAGCTTGGTCTATCTCATATTAATAGTAACAAGGACATACATACTTTTCGGAACTCAATGCCAATGTTAAAGACACTGTTTCCAGAAGCTTTCAGGGCAGTTTGATTTTAACCATTCTGGAAAAGTTACAGCATATTTTCATGTTCGTTTCATAAAGCCTTTTCCAAATTAGAACCCTGTGACAGTGTCTCATTTTAAGCCTTTCTTACCCATTAGAATACATAATTTCTCATTCCTTAATCACTGGTGGTATAAACTAGACGAAATTATGTTGCGGCTATTTGTGTAGTGTCTCTAAAAATTCATAAAACTCTCTAATCCCAGCAATATTCTGAAGAGAATTGCTCAATGAGGGAAGTAGGTTTACACTTGAATTAGGATTTACTTCCAGTAAGTCTTTACTACACCATGTAAGAACGGGGCTTTTTCTTTTTTTCCCTACGCTCTGAAGCCCTTCTTAGTGATGACAGGCGAGTGATGACTAAAAATGATGGAAACCAGTTTTACCATAGCCATAATTAGACAGGGTGAGAAGGTTGCACGGGGATGCAGCAGCTTCCCCCCCACCCCGAGCGGGCTTTGCTTGGGGCACAGGGTGCAGAGCTGGACCCGTAGCCCTTCAGCCTCACCGAGACCAAGGGGAAGAGGAGACAGGGCCAGAGGTGTGAGGGGGTCCTATAAATCTCTATGCAAAAAAAAAACAAAGAAGAAAACCTCTGCGAGGCTTGTGCTCGACATTCAGCAAGCTCAGACATTCTGTAGTAGCCTGCAGTGCTCCTCAGCTTGGCACTAACTGTGATCTCGGTGCGGGCACACTTGGTGGAGACACACCAGCAGGGCGCCCCTTGTCCTGACGCACACGATGCTTACAAGGCTCACTTGCACTATTGCCTTTTGCCTGTAATATCCTATACACCAAGAGGGAT